AAGACAATCAGATCAGTAACGGCGGTAGGGACTCACAGAGGCATATGGGAGTGCTTTGGTCCACAAGTAACCTTGATCGAATTGACACCTATAGGCCTTGCACGAAAGGATATCAAGAATCTACAGAATAACTAAGGCTATCATACTATCTTTATACCCTCTGGTCTAGACCCTGTTCGAAACAAGTCCGGTACTAGTCCAGATCCAACCAGCTGGGGTAATATCCAGGTGAAGGAGTTGGAACTTCGTTACACTATCAGGATCTTTTCTAAAGCTCCTCTTCGATCTATGTCGCGGAGAACTATGATACAAGATGGTAATCGAGAGCGAATTACGCTGATAGCTTATATTTCCGCCGATAGGTCTGATCTAGAACTAGTGGTTATCTACTCAAGCCAATCTTGATCGACCCAAAGCTCGGGGTTGCAAGGCTTTGATCCAGAGATCCACTCCGCCTGAATCACCACATCGGCTACCGGCTGGTCGAACGATAGTATCGGGCTCCGGCGGCTCAAACATGTGTTTGATCCTGCTACCAAGCCTAAAACTCGATCGTCTCACTGATTGTTCTTCATGGATGGGCATCACTCTCATCTCACAATGGATTTTGTTAACTATTGTGATCAGAATAAGATCTTAATTGCAGTATATCCACTTCATGCGACACATACGTTACAACCGCTCTCCGTTGGGCTGTTAAAGCCGCTCTCCACTGCCTATTCGAACGAGCTATGGAGCTTTATGGATAGCTGCCAACGGGCTACTGCCTATTACCAAACCCCATTTCTCCCCACTGTTCTGAAACGCCTAGCACGCCTAGCACGCCTCATTTAAGAAATTGACGGTCTTCCAAGCCTTTGAAGCTACCGGTATATCGCCGTTCAACTCAGAAGTGGTACTCCAGAAGGTCAAAGATGCACCTGCTAATAACCATAGAGAAAAAAACAGAGATGTGTACTCCTGATTGGAGAACAGTTCGGTAGCTGATCGATAGCGCTGTTAACCAGAAACAGAGCAGAACAATCTTGGCGCTCAATTGAATAGGTAAGGAGCTATCTGCCGATGCAACGCTTCTACGGCGTGAAAATGAGCAGCTTTGAGGGCTATGATCGATGAGAGATAGCGGAAGTAGTAATAGCAGCCTGGCATACTCAAACTATCGGAATATTACCATGGTGGAGCTGATTTCTGGTCGCCCCGGAGGGTGCAAGAAGCTCGCAGCCTCTACGAGCAGAAACAGCGTGATCGTGAGAAGTCACAACACCAAAAATCTATCGATATGAAGGTCCTAGAAGAGACAAAATTGCCTAAAGCCCGAGAACTAGATGTGCGGCGTCACGCGCTAGGTACAGTACTGCGGGCGAAGCAGAAAGCTGATGAAGCTGATGAGCGAGCTGCTCGCCAAGTTGCCCGTAGAGCGGCAAGACAACTAGAGCAAGCTCCCAAAACTTCCTAGAAGGGTAAGAAAAGAAGCTTCAAAGCCCTTACAGAGCCTGCATAAAAAATAATCAGTGGTAGTCATGATGGTGGTGGGTAGACGCTGGATCGCTCAGCAGCTCCACCAATACTGTGACCAAAGCGCGGCTGCAATATCAAGTTACCCGCGAAATATCGATAGAAATATAAGCCAATTGCAGTATCATTTCTAACTATATCACAGCAGCAAGAAATTTCACAATAACGTCTATTTTGTGCGGCTCTACGGCCTTAACTTCATGGTGGTTTTGGTGGGGTGGATCAACATCTACACCGCGTCGGCTGTCCACCAAGCCTGCCAGCAGAGCGTAGCTATGGAAATCACGGCTGAAACCGAGGACTAAATCAAATCAAATAAAATCAATCATCCTTAGCTTCGCCAGCCTGCTCAGCGCTTCGACCATTACTGCTAGCTCTTCCAAGTAAGGATTCTATTCTTCTCTCTTGCCCAGTTTAGGCAATGGAGAAAAATCGTGTTTTGTTATTCTGTAACTACGTAAACAACAACCTTAGCTTACACAGGTCTTTTAGCTGCTGCTCGTAGCATCTCGTAACAGCAAATTTATAGAGATATTTAGCGATAACCAGTTTACATCTCGCCGCCTACTTGCTTCCCTACTTCGATGGCACAAGTAGTATTCCCTTTGCACTGAGACCGAGCCATCGCCCATTCATTTACTAAATCAAACCGGCGACAAGAGTGTTGGTGTGACTTAATGAGCATAGTGTTTGGGTCATTCTCGGGGTTGAAATATAACATAGGTGTCAGGTCAGATTGACATTGAGCAGCCTGTCGTAACATGTCAATGCAATGGTCGAGGTGATTTAGATGTTCCTTTGTCGGAGCCCCGTAAACATGTTGGTATGCTGCGCGGCGTAGTGCGTTAATGCAGTGAAGGTAGTGGTATACTTGCAAACTAACCAAATGAAAATGTTAGCAACGTCTATTTTTACTAGAAATAAGGCATGAGGTTCAGCCAAGTTTGGTATAAAACTGACCCGGCGACCCAGAGGTTGTCTTGCTTGGTAGTGCTGTTTTTATACTCGCCAATCTCGTCCTCTTTTAGGTAAAGGACAGTTGCTAGTGAGAAGAGCAATGAGCATAGGCCTGAGTAATTGATTCTGGAAAGTCTTGCTTACGGGAAACTAATATCCTCCAAGCATTGTCAATCTCCTCTGTTGGTTCACCTACATAAGACGACGTAGGTAATGTAGAGAACGATGTTCCTTCAGGCTGATTGAATATCTCAGTAGAGATTCTAATGGTTCGAAACGTAGCGGCTGATTTTCTAGTTAGCGATTGGATGAATACGGTAGATCAATGTTGTTTGTCATACCAAGCTCAGTAGCTGAGAACCCAAGCTCAAACCCGCCGTTTCTCGTGCCCAAACTCTCCCGCCGTAAAAGGACGATGAGCATACCGAGTGTAACAAGCCATAAACTGGAATTAATCGCTATCCATAATCGCCTTTGAACTCCTTTGAAACCCTTAGCATTATTCGTTCTAAGTGCAAGGTACCGTTCTTTGTGATATTCATCACTATTTCTGTCAGTTGAACTTGAATCTACTCGGCTATATGCTGCTGAGCTCATTGTGTTTGGTATCAAAAGAAAAACAACTGAAATAAAAACTCTTGCAAAATATGTAGCAAGATATAATCACAGTTACTTTAGAGCAAGACTAGATTATGAGACATTGAATGATGGATTTAATTAACGTCTTGCTATGTACAAACCATGAGAAAAGCCTCACGGACAAATCAATGAATATTCGTAGTCTCCTCGGATGTTTATCGGATATTCTCCACTAAACGCATAAGTTACTTGCAAAGCTTAGCTATGCCACTACAATCAAATCCAAATGCTAACGCCCGTTGAAGAAGTATAGATCTTATCGCGGGGCTCTTCGCTGGAGTAGTAAATAGATACTCGCAGATATTTTCTAAATGTATAACGTAGTTTACAAGCGAGTCGCGCACCCCACCAACTTTACTCACCTCTCTTACTACAACGTGCAATGGCTCAACGTAACGTTACTCAATTATCTTCAAACGAAGCAGATATTCAGCTTGCTATTTCAGCTATTTCAGCTAATCAAATTAAGACTAATCGACACGCTGCTGCTATCTATCAAGTTCCTGAATCCACCCTGTGTGACCGACGCGCTGGCAGGCCTGCCCGACGCGAGTGCCAACCCAACTCAAAGGAACTCACTAAAAAGTCCGTCCCTGTGTGACGAAAAACCCCGTGTGCCGAAAATGACCAATCGGATCGCAAGGGTCGTAGAGAAATGCATGCTCCTTGCGCTCCGATTGGTCATTTTCGGCACACGGGGTTTTTCGTCACACAGGGACGGACTTTACCTTCAGAGCTGTTTATATGAGTTTTTCCTATAGCTAGCCGTATGGGCATGACCCTCGGTTCTTTCATAACTGCCTAGAACCTTAATAAGAAAAAAAAGGTAGGTATCTAAAGGTAGAGTACGCGAACGCTTGGTAAAGGACGCGGCTTTCAAATCCTCTCCAATCCAAATATGAAGGCAGCATCCCCTTGCTCGTGCTCCCCCATATCTGCAAGCGGCGCGTACCTAACGTCCCCTTTGCCTTTCTTCCTCGCCACTGCACTCTCCTTGGTCCAATCAATCAATCCTCCAAGCCAGCCTCGCTTTTCCACCCCCAATCGCTCAGCCTCGACCTCGCCCTCCGGAACTTCAGCTGAGGGGTCTAGCAGCGCAACCTTCATCCAGCTAGGCCGCCTCCAGAGCTTCAAGAGCAAGGAGGAGGCGATGACAGAGACAGACGAGCAGGCCATGGCAGCACCAGCAGCCATGGGATGCAAATTAATGCCCCAGGGCAGGAAAAAGCCCATGGCGAAGGGGAGCCCGATGACGTTGTACATACACGCCCAAGCCAGGTTCATCTTGATGCGCTTAAATATGGCTTTGCTGAGGCACAGGCTGGCCGGGATGACGAGCATGTCTGTGGTAGACATTAGAACCACCGAGGCGGCTTCCATGGCGACATCCGTGCCGGTGGAGAGTGCGATGCCAACATCTGCAGATGCGAGAGCAGGCGAATCGTTTATGCCGTCCCCGACCATTCCGACCACTTTGCCACACGACTGGAGATGGGCGACAAAAGCCTTCTTGTCTCCAGGCTGAGCGGAGGCGTATACATCATTCGATTCAATGCCGACTGCTGCTGCGACGATGAGCGCGGACGGCGACCTATCACCTGTAACGATCGAGCATTTTATACCAAGACGGCGAAGAGCGAGGACGGCGGCGCGAGCCGAGGGCTTGACGGTGTCTGAAAGAGACAGCGTGCCGGTGTATGTCTTATCAATGGCGGTATGGATGGTAGTCAGTCCCGCTGAACGTGTTTGGTAGTCTCCAGGAAGAGGGCTAGGAGTGCTGCCAGCGATGGGCCATTCGGCAACTTCAGGAACGGTGACGCCTTCGGAGCGCAGATATGAAGCGTTTCCGATCAGAACCCAATAGCGGGTACGTTCGCGGGAGAGAGCTACTTCGACTGACGCAGAAATACCTTTTCCTACAATGGCTTCGAAGTCACTGATATTACCGTCGAGGGCGTCTCCATCCCCGAGTCGCAGTTGTTCTTTGGCTGCGCGAACAAGGGCCTTTGCGATGGGATGTTCCGAGCCCAGCTCAGCGAGGCCAATAAGAGTCCACCAGAGGCTCCTCTTGTGCTTGTCTGCATCCCATCCACCCCTGATGTCGGTTTTGAAGACATTCATCTTTCCGACGGTCAACGTCCCAGTCTTGTCGAAAACGATGTGGTTGACCTTGCTGGCCGTCTCGAGAGCAGCACCTCCCTTGACCAAGATGCCTTGCTCGGCGCCAACGCCCGTGCCGACCATGACAGCCGTGGGAGTAGCGAGGCCAAGGGCGCATGGGCAGGCAAAGACAGTGACGGCGATCCAGAGCTTGACACAAACCATGAGCTTGCCGCCACTAGCATGGTCGAGAAAGACCTTGGGAGGGTTGGGTAGAGTGTAGCCGAGAAGCATCCAAGTAACAAAGGTTGTGAGCCCAAGCGTGATGATGATGGAAACGAAGTATCCGGCGATGATATCAGCCAAACGCTGGATGGGTGCGCGGCTCGTCTGAGCTTCCTGCACGAGGCGGACGATATGGCTCAGCTGGGTGTCACGACCAGCGCGAGTGACTACAAAGTCGATGCGTCCTGCTCCGTTGACGGCGCCGGCCATGAGATATGAGCCCTTCTTTTTCTGAACAGGCATCGCTTCACCAGTGACCATGCTCTCATCTACATAAGACTCCCCTCGCGTGACAATGCCATCAGCGGGAATCTTATCTCCAGGTCGCAGGATGACCACGTCACCCTGCTCAATGAGGTCGGTGGCAATGGTCTTTTCCTCGATGGCGTTGCTGCTCTCCGCTGCATCGCACGTGTCGCGGGATTCAGACAGGTTCCAGGCTTCAGCGGCTTTTGTAGCGGCGATCGGATCCCCGTAGATGGTAGTCGTAGAAGGAGTCAGAGACATGAGTTTTGAGAGTGCCTTTGATGTTTTTCCCTTGGCTCGGTTCTCAAGGTATCGACCCATGGAGATGAAGGTGATCAGCATGGTGCTGGTGTCGAACAGGGTTGCAGGCTTGGAGTGAGGGTGTAGGAGCAGTGAAACCAGCATTGAGGCGCAGCTGAAGAAGAAAGCAGCTGAAGTTCCCAGTACGACCAACACATCCATAGTAGGCGAACCATGCCGGAGAGACTTGTATGCAGAGACGTAGAACCGCCCACCGATGCCAAATTGAACAGGAACGGTCAGCCCCAGGCAGACTAGATCGCCAAGATAGATCCCAGGCATAATTTTGATCCTACCATAGTCGAGGGAAGGCAGGAGCATGGGAAAGACCATGCTGGTGAGGAAGACAGGGAGCGCAAAGCATGCAGACACTTGGACGGCCCGTCTCCACTGCCGGATTTCCTTGGTCTTTGCAAGTGACTCGATTTGGGCGTTGCTGTCATTAAAATCCGCTAACAGAGCGCCGTAGCCAGCTGCTTCCACAGCCTCCACAACTGCACGAAGTCCAATTACGTGCGGATCCCGCCGGGCTGTAGCTCGACAGGCATGGAAGTCGACAGACGCAGCAGTGATGCCAGGCATCGCTTTCAACGACAACTCGAGCTCCTCTGCAGCTTTTGGGTTGGGCATGCCGTAGATGTTAAGGGCTACCGATTCACAATTGGTCGACGCCCGCTGCAGATCTTCACCGACAGATGAAATCACACTCGCATCAAAACCCCGGTTTTCGATGATTTGCACAATGTGCTCGGCCGTAAGCTTTGTCGGGTCATGCGCAATTACTGCGCGCTCAGCGAGCAAGCTAATGTTAAATCGGTACACGCCCTTGACACCCTCGAAGCCGCTCTCTACCGCCGATGTGCAAGCACCGCACGTCATACCACCTACACTGACTGTAGTAGTAAATTTCTGCTTCCCTCCCAAAATCTCACCCTTGCCTTCTTTGTCATTGTGCGCCACTGAGTCTACAAGCGCCGCATCGAAACCAACGCGTTTTATCATCTCCACTAGCGTTGCGGCGGATTGTATTGTTGTGTCATGCTCTATTGTGGCGCGCTCAAAAAGCAAGGAGATAGTAACCGACTTCACCCCCTCTATATTCTTGAATGCGCCCTCGACTGCGGATGTGCAGGCTCCGCATGTCATTCCTCGCACTGTAAGGGTGGTCGTCGCCATGTGCGCCATTGCGCGGTTGGCTATCAGAGAAGCCATGTCTGGGGCTACTTAGGACGTCCTGGGAAATCCTCCCGATGCAGAGCGTCAACGGTTGGAATTATATACGTGGTCAGGTAAAGCGTTGGAGAGCGTGCTGCCTTGTGCAGCAAGCTGTGTGGTTGGATTCGATATTGACAGCAATATGCAATGAAAGGAAGGAAGGCTTGTGTCATTAATATACCATGGTGGGGAGGACCAATCCGCCTCGAAAAGATGTGTTTAGTATGAGCAGCCGTTCTGGAGCTGGATCTGAAGGCAGTACTTGTAGCTCATATGTATACGTGCTAGTCTCAACGGACAGGGGTGCATGTAAACCGACAGGATCGCCCGGATAGTGGGGTGAACTGATGCTACGGCGAGGAATCCTCCGCTTGGTGCTCGACCGAAGGGAAAAGCCGAATACGAAGACAGATAACTCGATACCCCATGCGCGCAGGAGTAGGATGTAAGACGTACCAGGAGAGGCTGCCAGACTCGCCTATAATCCAGCGGAAAGCTGCCGCATGGCCACATCCAGAGATTTATTAAGTAACTGCCGAATATCTGGTGATAACCCGTTTTGGGAGTCGACATGGATAATAATTCCGAGAAAATTGACTCGGGAATTTGTTGGAATTTTCGGAGGTGCCCGTCAAAAGTCTTTGCCCACCTTGGCGGGCAGGGGTTTCTAAGCTATTCCCAATTTGAGCCATCCTCCGAAAGCTCTGGCTCTGGCTTCCTAAGCCGCCTACCCTCCTTATACTCGTTGCCGCCTTTCAGCTCAATAATCTGTTTAATATGATATGGAGTTCGCTCAATTCAAGCCTGTATCTTCTCCTGAGGTAGGTCTCTCCAGCACTGCAGCCATGCCCGTATTCCCTCTGCTCTATTCTTAGGCGCCCCCTCTTAGTAGTAGCTCTTTTCATCCATGGCCAGCAAGGCTCAATCACATTCAAGTCAGGCGAGTTCCCACACCAGAGCATCTTCTCAACATCGTGAAGACTGTAAATATAGCTTTGGACATAGTGGTCGTGAGAAGGCGCCTTATCTTTCTGTACGACTGTTCCAGGCCGATCAGCCTTACATTCTTTTGCAAAAGGAATCAGCTTTAGTAGAAGGATAATTGCCTGGTATCGATACCAGTCAATTCCTGAGCCATTGCGTCGGCTAAGCTTTCCTGTCTTCGTGTTCCACTTCCACTGAGGCTGTCGGCCAGGCTTATTCCAGAGGTTAAGACGACGCATACCATTTTCAAGCTCCCATTCAGCCTTCTCAATAGGCTCAAGCTTCTCGTTTAGTTCATCTATCCAAGTAATAGCAGCCTCCTTCTCTTTATTTGTTTCTGGCGTCCAGCAATGGCAGGGGTCCTTCTTATCGTACGAGAAACAGCCCCAAAACATAAACTTAGAACAGCCTTTCCATCTCTCGCGAATACAGCTCCGTAGGAAGGCCTCATCTGCTCTTCTTCATATTCGGTATCCACCACGTCTATGATTAAAGACAACAGAGGTTTCGTCTGACCAGATAACATTCTTCCAGTCCTCAAGCGTCCAGTTTGTGTGCTTCTGGCACCACCTATATCGTTCCTCCCTCATCTGTTTCGTCAACCCAGGCTTCCTCGTCGGCTTGATCTTCCTGAAGCCTTGCTCTCTTAAGACTCGCCTGACTGTAGATGCCGAGACATTGAATCCTTGTTGGCTTAGCAGGCCAGCAATGTCAGCACAAGACTTTTCTCGCCCATATCGATCGGTGCGTACAGTATATACTACTTGCTGAGAGACTGTAGACCGCTTAGATGGCCGCCCAGATCGATGGGCATCTTCAAGGTGCTTATCTTCAAGCTGTAGTGGCCGGAGGCCTGGATCAAAGCCTCGCTCAATTGCTCGCGCGTAGATAGAATTGATCGTACGCTTCTCAACCCCACTCAACTGCTACAAAACGGCTAGAAGGACATGGCAAGAGCGGTAGCTTTGGATCTATTGCTGAAATCATTCCAGTATTTGAAGTACTACTCAGCAAGTTCGAAGAGAAACTCCAGAACTACGACGCTGTTGATCACTGTCAACACAACGAGGCACCCGAAGACCATCTTGCGATCAACCTCCGCGCTGCTCTTGTCAAGGCGCGCAGCTATCACAGCAAGCTCGATCGCTCCCCAGCTTACTATACTCCAACAATACTCCACCCTCGCTACAAGTCTTTTTACGACTCTGTGTGGGCAGAGAAACCAGAGTGGCTCTCGCTTAACAACCGCAATTTTTATGCTTTATGGGCAGAATACAACACCACGCCAAAGCCTCAAGCACGCCTACAGAAGCTCTCTAACGACCTCGACGACGCGATTGATAGCCTCTGCATCCCTAAGAGAGCACCTAACAATATAGATGAGAATGAATACACAAGGTGGAAGACCTGCGAGCCGGTGGCAGAGAAGGACTCACCTAACGCGCTTAATCCAACACAATATTGGATAGGGCTTCGCGAGCAATATCCCAACCTTAGCAGACTTGCGCTTGATATACTCTCTATCCCAGCCTCAAGCTGTGAGAGTGAGCGCATATTTAGTGAGCTAGGTGATCTTCTCGAACCTCGTCGGCGTAATATTAGTCCGCAACTTCTGGCAGCAATACAGTGTGTGAGAAGGTGGAAAAGAGCTGGGCTTAGCGATAACCAGGCTGCTGAAAATTCAACTATTACTGATAAAGAGACAGAGCTCTTGTATGATATTAGTACATAGGACAACGAACTCAACACTATGTAAAACTTTAGTATAGGCATATACACCAATCAAGCGAGTTTCAAACAAGCAAGCGCAAGCTAAGCGGCCTCCTCTAAGTTAGCAAGCAAGCGAACATACAAGCCTCGCACTTGCTTGCTTGCTTGTTCCCAAGTATGTGGATCGAGAGCATACGTCCCAGTCAAGAACGTGAGAGATCGGCCAGCACGGGCAAAGCTACACGACAAAGCGCTCATGGGATGGCTGATAGGGACTGAAGGGACAAACATCTACAAGGTCTGGATACCAGCGTCCAACCGAGTCATCACATCGAGAGACGTAAAGACAGATGAGAAAGTTTATTACCACCCAAATCAGCCTCCAGCAGCCCCTCAAAGCGACCGTGTACTAGTCAATATGCTCAACGAGATCGACGAAGCAGATAACGACAGTGGTGTCGACGCAGGCGAAACGGCAATTCCAGAGCTAGAAGCACCAACAAATGTCGTACACCTAGACTCGTTATTGACGTCCAAACAAGACGTCATAATGCAAGTACAACAAGGGGCAATTAAGAAGACTACTACGCTGGCACCTAAGACGCAGGACGTTCCCGCAATAAGAAATAGGCATATCGACGCGACCATTCTCAAGAATCTACGATCGAGATCAGGGAGAAACGTACGGCTGTCACAGAAAGGTCAAGATGCGGTTAACAACCTTGAGAGGTACACTGCAAAGAAAGCACGACGACAAGCATACGCGCTACTGCTTGAACGATCAAAGCAAGGACAGCAAGTCGCGCATGCCTTTGCATCAGCACAGACAATTCGAACTCACCGGCAAGACTTGTCACCACCGCCAGAGTTCTGGCATCAACTGAAAAGACATGCCCAACGAAGAGAGTTCCGGCATGCCGCCGATGCTGAACTAGCATCGCTAAGATCTAAGAAAACATTCGAACTTGTAGATCGCCTAAAAGATAAGCAATTATTACCACTAAAGTGAGTGTTTACCTACAAGTTAGACGACGCTGGATACCTCAACCGCCATAAAGCACGAGTATGTGTGAGAGGTGATCTACAGCACAATGTCTCAGACGACATCTATGCAGCAACTGGCGCGTATCGCAGCCTGCGAATACTCATGGCTCTCGTAGCTGCATTCGGACTTCTTTACCACCAAACAGACTTTAAGAATGCTTTCACTAATGCAGAGATGGACGAAGAGGTATACACCACATGTCCACCTGGTTAGAACCAACCAGTCAAAGTCTGGAAGCTTCGAAAAGCAATCTACGTGGACGATATGCTGATTATCGCACAACCGGAAAGTATCTATCTAGTTAAAGAACTCAAGCTAAGGCTAAACAGCAGGTACGGAATCAAAGATTTAGGAGAAGTAACGTCCTTCCTCAATATCAGCATTCTCCGCAACGCCAGGGACAAGAAGCTCTGGATCAGCCAACATGGATACATTGAGAAGATCTGTACCAAGTTCGGCATTGATGGACATGAGAGAGTAGCTACAACGCTTCTTCTATCGTCATATCGTCCACAGAAGCATGAGGGCCAAGCCTCAATGCAGCAAGTCACAGAGATGCAAGAAAAAGTAGGATCGATACTGTACGCAGCGGTAGTATCACGGCCAGACGTTGCTTTCGCAGCCAGCCAGTTGAGTCAGTTTACTATGAACCCTTCACCAGAGCACCTGCGCTACGCAAACCGAGTACTCTCATATCTCCATGCAACGAAATACTATGCCATCGAATTCTCGGGCTCAGCCAAAGACGCTGAAGTACAGACAGGCGATGAAGAAGTATGTGAGCTGTCAAGTGACGCCTCGTTCGCGGACGATCCAGAGACTCGAAAGTCGACGGAAGGATATCTCATGAAGCTATTCAAGGGACCGATTATATGGCAGTCATCCAAGCAGAAGACTATAACCACGTCAACTACTAAAGCTGAGCTTCTATCGCTGTCATACACAGCAAAGGAAACGATAGGCCTATACCGACTGTTCAAACAGATACAGTTCGATCCTGAACATCAACTAAGTATACTCTATGACAACCAACAAACAACAGGTCTAATCTAGAAGGATAGACCGCAGCTATCATTAAAACTCAAGCATATTAATATCCATAATCTGTGGTTAGTTACGCGATATGGCTAATAAACTCCTAGCTGCGCGCGGCGCTGGCCAGGTCGGCGCCCACTGGCCGCGCAACTTTGTCAAGCGTACAGACAGTCTTACAACGCGTTTTAATCGAGCGTACGATAGACAGAGAACTCTAGGTGAAGACCCAGTCTTAATAAAGGGCTGGTTTGAGCTTATAGAGCGGACAAAAGCCAAGTATGGCATCTGTGACGAGGACGTCTACAACTTTGACGAAGCCGGCTTTATGGTGGGCAAGATCACGACGCAGCTGGTCGTTACAGCGTCAGAAAGGAGAGGCCGGCCAAAGTCTGTTCAGCCAGGCAATCGTGAGTGGGTGACGTTGATCGCTGCGATCAACGCAGCTGGCTGGGCAGTCCCACCGTTTCTCATCTTTGCCGGCCAGCATCATCTATCTGCCTGGTACGAGGAGGCAGAGATCCCGCGCGACTGGGCGATCGCAGTTAGCGACAATGGCTGGACGAATGATGAGCTAGGTGTTGCATGGATAAAGCACTTCGATACCCACACGAAGACTCGCGTTGTCGGCACACGTCGCCTACTTATCCTTGACGGCCATGAGAGCCACCAGTCTCTCGAGTTTCAAGAGTTCTGTAAGGAGAACGATATATATACGCTTTATATAAGCTCGGACACCTAGTAATGGCCACACCCAGTAGTGGCCACCCCAATCAAAACAGCGTCACCAAACTTTGAAGCCAAATATCATAGCAACAATGATTAAATTCGCCACTTGCTACACATAGAATCAAAAGTAGCACTACTAGAAGCAATCTGTCTAGTTATAGTGGTTTTTCTTTGCTGCCGTCTAGTAGTTTTGACTGTTTCAGCCGCAGCAGCTTCTATCGCG